TATTGGTAGTATCTTATCATTGTTGTTATAATTTTGTTTTTTTCTCCTTCTCCCTTTGTTGCCCTTCATAGACTGTATAAGTTGGAAATACACACACTTCACAGCTTCACACACCACAATCTTGTAAAACACTCCACATCTTTTTGTAATGTCATGTATCTGTTGTCTTGTCTCTCATGTCCGGACTAGTTTTGTTAATGTGTTACTTTGTTTCAATAAAAAAATGTTTTTAAAAAGTATGCTGTTCACTCATCACACACAAACACCTGCCTCTGTGGCTATGGGTAGGCTAATATTAGATTCAGGCTGGGGGAAACACATCTCAATGAGGAAACAGATTTTGACAGAAGGTGCAAGATGAGCTAGTTTCACTCGAGACCAGAGTGCTGCTGTGTTGTTACATGTGAGCATGTGCATTCTTGTACAGTATTAAAATTGATAACTTTTTTCTCTATAATTTTGGCATACAAAAAAGGTAGCTGTGTTCTGTTAAATACTCCACAAGCCTGACCACAGCATGAGTAATAACAGACCTCCCCAAAAACACGAGTATCTTCCTTTAACAATGTTGTTTACTTCAGTCAGTTGCAATCCAACATTATCTGTGATCCATAAATTGCACTGGGTGTCTTATATTTTCTTTATGTTGGTTTTAAAATGTGAAATATACAGTACCTTGATGTAAAAACCAAAAGAGTTTATCTTCTGACCAAATCTTTCTATTTGAGCTCTTGCTTGTTTCTCTGTCTCACCCTCATATTCTCTCTTTTCTCTGTCAATCTCACCTTTCTCTGTCTCCCCTCCACTGCTCCATCTCACCTCCCCTCAGGACGGTCAAAGTAGATGTTTACGACTGGGACCGAGATGGGAGGTAAGTTGCCTGGTTCGCTCTCTCTCTCTTGTTTTTGTTATATATTTTTATTTTGATACATTTTCAGTCTACAGTGAATGCCTTAAATGCTACATCGTAGTCAGTCTGAAAATCAAAACAACTTGCAGGTGAAAGATTACAGCTGAGTGGGCATGAGGTCAGGGTTTATAAGTGCCGACTATAGTACTGACATGGCTTTCTCTCTCTTACCAGATGTGGCCTACTTGCTCACATGTTTGTGGAATTAACTGAAACCTTGTGATTTTTTCAGGCTGTCCAGCCTTGAGTTATAGCTTTCCCTAATTTAAAATGAATAGGAAAAACAGATACTGTATATAAATAAGTCTCCTATTCTGTATAAGAGAATTGCAAGTTTAGAGTGACCAGTTATCAGTAGCTGTCAAGTGTATCAGGTGGTACCTGAAGCTAAGGTTATGAAGGGTCTTCTACACAAATGTGCACTTATCCCTTAAAAGTAAGGCTTCCAGGTCTGCTGGTAAGTAATTTAGAAAGAGTGACTAAACCTTTAGAAGCAACTCATTGTCTCTTTAAAAACACCATTTATGCTTTCATGGGAGCCTGGGGTACTTTATAAATCCGGTTTTAGAAATCCTTCTCCTGGAACACTGCAAAAGGTTTGTCTTGCAGTGTTCCAGCAAGGTATATTAGTATGACACTGTCATCAGGCTGTAATTCTGTTGCATGTTTACATAGTTGGTTCCTTTTTGGGATTGATAGGAAATTCAGTTTTGCCCTTCTAAGGCATCATGACAAGGAATGTTCATTTTGACAGTGAGTTATTATCAGGCCTTAACTTTAAGATGGTGAATTCCAAAAAAAAAAAAAAAAAGTCCATTTATTGAAAATGTTACCAAACGATATAAAGAAGGCACTGTGCAGCCTCATGTCCTGCTATTAGTATCATGATTCTGTCCCATCAGTTTCCATTCCCATGCTTTTATTTTGACATTACTTCCTGTTTTAGTTTCACCTTAGTTTTGGACTTTTTACTTTAATCACTGGTTATTGTTTACACCTGTTTTCACCCCGTTATAGGCAGCTTTCCTCCACGGGGATTGTTCTAAACCCATGTTCAGACTTTCCAGTGGTTTTTTTCTTGTGTTCATTTTTCTAGCTCTGATCTCGGATCGACTTGATTATGTTTTCTCGACTCCTGCATTGTGTTCTGTTAGTTGTGACCTGCACTTCAGTAAAAAGATCTTTCTCTGCTTTACCTCATCTGGCAATATAATCGAGTTCACCCACGACATTATCGGTAGCTTTATGCGCCGATCCTGACAATTAGAAACTGTCAGACCAATACATTGACTTTATCAGTGCCTCAGAAAAAAAAAAAAACATGAAACAACCTTTTCTTCTTTTGCTTAATCTCTTGCCCTCTCACATGTTATTGCTTTGTTAGTTTCCTTTCCTCCCTCCTTGTTGTAGTTTATTCTCCTTCTCTCCTTGTTGGGATATGAACTCATTGTTGCTTGAGAATTGCCATCTAAAACCAGCATTTCAGAAGCAGTGTTGGTGTCTCACACAGCTTCAGGTGGTGATATAATTGATATGGCCGATATTTACCAGTCTGATGATGATGGAGAGTTTTTCAGAAAAAAACATGAAAAACTTTCTCTGAAGGATCCCCTCAAGAGAAGATTTTCATTCCAGCACAGCTCAAATACAGAGAACATGCCCTGGAGAAGCAGTGAAATTAAATACAAATTATACTGCCATTTTACTACAAATCAGGCAGTCTTTAATAGATTAGCCTCCCATTATCAGTCAGCTACCATTTGCAATATTTGTTTGGTGACCATTATTAAAAGTTCTGCACAGCATTTCATCCACAACATACCCTGATATGAACATACATATAAAATACTGACTGCTTGCATAAATGAATGGAGTGCAATATATCATACAGTCTTGTAGCCCAACCCAATTCAGATCAAACTGAAATTTATTCATTAAAAAAAAAAACACACACTATATATTGGTGGAGGTTTTTTGGGACCCATGAACTTATTTGATCAAAATTGCACTTATCAGGAAAAAGTTTTATTTGTTTTTCTGCTGTGACAGTACCTTCCATTTAACAGCTCTACCATCTAGTGCTCCAGTTGTATATAATGTGGGACAAGCGCAACGCCGAGTATGTGGTAACAGCCAATGAGTCAGCAGGCATTGAAAAAAACAGTTGAAGAATAAGGTTAAATGGCAATCACCATTAACCAGTTCGACTAGGCTTATTGCTTCCATTTTCCAATTAGACATTAGTTAACCTAGTGTGCTAGCTTCTGCTTTGTAATTGAAAAACAAAGTTAACAACATCATTGATCCTCCCATCGTTCAAAAGGACAGCAGGGCTTTTATTCTTCGTCTTCTTCATATTTTGTGTGTTTTTTACTCTTTCTGCAGTGCACAAATGTCATGCACTGCTAACATACAACAAACAGGCATTGCTGGATATCGCCAACTTACACAAACATTGGGAATTTACTGGTTCCATACCACCGGAGCTATAACTGATTGTTCACTCCCACAACAACAACCACCATCACCCCGAGGAAGCCCCCGAAGCATCAGACACGAGCGAGCAGGCTGAAATCAGGAAAGCGACCTGGAGACAGAGACGCAAACGGGGCAAGAGAGGAGGGCTCCGTGCTAGGCTAAAAGCTCGCACTACCTGACTGCCACTACCCAGCCTCTTCCTAGCTAACGTACAGTCTCTGGAAAACAAATTGGACGAGCTAAGGGCTTGGATTACAGCACAATGGGAAATAAGAGAATGCTGTGCTCTAATTCTCACCGAGACTTGGCTTTCTGACTAAATCCCAGATTCCGCGATTCAGCTACAGACCCACTTTCTACACTGGGGAGACTGCACTGCTGCTTTGGGGAAGGTAAAAGGAGGTAGTGTGTGTGCTTATCAATAACCCGTGGTGTGGAGATATACGTCCTGTTTATAAGCACTGTTTGCCAGACAGAGATTTTATTGCTGAAATACCATCCCTATTATCTAGCAAGAGAGCATAGTGCTGTGTTTCTGGCTGCTGTGTATGTTAGCCCAAGAGTTAATCCCTCGACGGCTCTCATCAAATTCCACGGCGTCATCAGCGCACTATAGACAGTGCACCCTGACGCTGTTTTTATCATGGCAGGTGACTTTAATCAGTGCAATCTATGGACTGTACTTCCCAAATATTACAAGCATGTGAACATTCCCATCTGGGGCAAGAACACTCTGGATCATGTTTACAGTAACATACGTGGTGCATACAGGGCTGCACCCCTCCCCCACCTCAGATGCTCGGACCACATTTCTCTGTTCCTGTACCCAGCTTACAGACAAGGACTGAAACTAACAAACCCTGTCACCAAACAAATTAAACTCTGGACCCCAGAGACTGAAGGCACCCTGCAGGACTGTTTCGCCCAGACAGACTGGGATGTGTTTAAAGCTGCAGCCACCTCGGAGGACTTTTCTGTCA